TATGCTGGGGGGGGGTGTTACGAGAAATGTTGCAAAGCTTTGGCCATTGGGCTTTGATTACATCTGCTTGAGCATAGTCCCTCCCCTCTCCTGCAGAGTACACTATATATACACACACGCAGTCAGACGAATCTGTTCACTAGGTCTTACTATCCTACTCAGAGTTGGAATGTGTGAGATCTGTGTGTAGCCTGCCTGAGCTTGAGATTGTAGGGAACCGAGTAGGCACATGGTTGCTCATTTGTAAGTGTGATCCCACTTGAGAAAGAGACAGTGATAAAGAGAGAGGGAGAGGACAACGAGGGAAAGGTGCCAGAGTCAGTATAAGAGAGACAGAAAGAAAAAGAAAAGAGGCAGGGAGAGAGTACAAAGCATTTCCACCTGTTGTACAATGGAAGATTGTGCAGTGTCTTTCTGGATTTACATCGGCGTAATGTCCATCCTTGTTGGTGGAGCGGTGAAGAAGTTTCTGGCATTCCATATCGTTGCCATGCCCTCAGTGGTGGCATGGCTGGGTGCCACTCTGCTGGTGGAAAGACTGTGTGCCCTCTGCATGCCCGCTGTGCTTGCAAGATTGGTCCTCTGTGTTTCCTGCTGGCTGTACTTTACGTGGGCCACCCCCAAACCCTTCCTGCCAGTTGAAGGCAAGGCTGTCTTCATCACAGGTAAGAACAAACCAAAGAAGTAGAACAAAAACATAATTAGGGCATAAAATGAATAGGCATGTGTCATAGTTTAGCATTTCTTTATCTTTTCATTTCGTGGCTGACTCAGAGGATCATTATGTATTGACCTGAAATGCACGTGAATTGATAAGCAGAGAGTGTACAAACAGATGGGAAATGTAGGTCATGCTGGGTGGATTCTGTTGTGCAAAATTGCCACAATTATATTAAGATTACTGTTGTTTTTGTGTCTAGTGATTCAGTAACTTTAAGAGGTAAAATGAGGATGCATTGTGACATCTGCATTGTGACTGAACGAACAACAAATTTGTACACTTCTTGTCAGCACATGCTATGATTTTGTATGGGAAGTCCCATATTAATTACTCTCCTGATCAGTCACTTCTGCTCACCAAAACATCCTGTCTTATGTTTGAGTACCGTAGATCTTGATTCAGAACATCTTGTACTTTGTAAAACAACCTTCTCTATCCATTGACCATATCAAGCTAAATTGGATGTAATGTTCAGCTCTGTATCAGTATTGACCCATATTTTATGGCAATGAGGAAAACACGTGGTACGACTTAAATTATATTGGTCATGTGTCTTTCTATTCAAGCTAAGCCAAGTTTGAGTGGCATTTGTAAGATATGCATTATGATTGTCTTATCTATCTGATGTGTTGTGTGTTAACCTTTATTGTGTCCTGCCGGTGAACTATGGAGTACTCTAAGATGATTTGGCTTTTTCTTAATTGGCTGAGCTAATCTGATTCTAAGTTAAATGATCTTATGCAACAAAAATGCAGTGTAAGCCATGAAACAAATCAAAGAGCTGCTGTGTTGTACCTGGTGGTATACTTAAAGCTCATTTACAAATTACAGCTGTATTTCTCCACTTGCACCTTTGGAAACTGCTTCTTTAAGTGCTCTTTGAGGCTTCTGCAGTTGCACTGAGTGTACTGCTTTAAAGGAATATTTCACTCAAAAAAAAAAAAATTCTGTCATCAAGTACATTGCACACTTCATCCAGTCACCAAGATTTTAAAACTGGTTTTGGTTTATGGCTTCTTACACATACAAAATAATAGACAATTATATTAGCTCAATATCAAAACAATGAGTGTCGAAAGGAAGTTTGTATGTGTACATGCATGAGATCTGCAACCAGCAGCTCTTAGAAAGAATCTCACCAACACTGTGGAATTGCTGGTTCAGACCTTGAGGAATAAAGGTAGTTATGTATTGATTTATTACTATTACTATTTGACTGTTAAGCTGTTTTAGAACTCCTGTTTAATCTGGATCATAAGCTCCTTCAATAGATGTTCTTGATTACCTATTATTCAGCCTTTTCTGCAACTGAGTCAAACCACAAAATTTAAAAAACTGAGAGGTGCAAGACCAAGATGAACCCTGATGAGTTTGAGTAAATGATATGTACTATATATGTATGTATGCATGTGTATAATATATGTATCACACTTGTATGTCTGCATACTTTATTATTACCCTGGGCTTTCAGAATAAAAATTTCCTTCACACTCTTTAGGTTGACTGCCCAAACAATTAAAGGAAAGTTTTTCTGTTAATAATTTTATATAGTTAAACTGTTATTGTCAGTTAATTTTTGACCGTGTCAAGTTTTTTTTTTTTCCTTAAGCTGCCATGATAAACAAACAGGCATGTCCATTTCCCTTCAGTTGGTTCACTTAGCAGGGCAAGGGGTTTAAATTAATTCGGTTACTCCAAGGCAGCTTATGTCCCTTTGATGGACGTGGGTTTCTCAGAACTAACTCATATGGGTTCCATAAATCCCCCAAAGCTGTCTGCCGTCTATTGGCACGGTAACCAGCAACCCAATCAACCCCCTTCATTGCTTGTTTTAATACACGTACACAGAACCAGCATGAGCTTCTGAGGTTGGCAAAGAGCACACTACTTGATTATGTTTTTCTTCATTTTCTTGTCTTTGTTTCCATACTACCAGCTAGCATGTAATGACATGGTATTGTACTTTTAAGTAATATTTCTGATGGACATTATATTTTCTTAAATTACCCTTCTCAAAGCTCTAAGGCATCACTCTTATGCCAAAAACCAAATGAAAGTGGAAAACCTGTAAACCTCTTACAAAGCCAGCAGAAAGGCACAGTCAGGGCTTGAAATGCTGTGAGGCAGGGGGTTAAGGTTACAGAATTGGCTGACTACACAAACTAAAGTCGTTAGTTTGGATAGAGTCAAGCTGGAAAATCGCCTATAGACTACAAGGCCAGTACACCTTGTACATGTTAATCACCAGCTTTGGAAATATAATGTTGAAGTGTGTTGTCCACTATGCCAGAACTCCCAACATATAAACTTCTGTAATCCTGATTTCTAATTAATCAGAGGCGTCTGTTCCTCAAAGAATATTTCCTTTCTACATAATGAAGCCGGCTTTCTTTAATTAAAACATTTTTATTGCTAAGGAGGATTTCCATAAATTGCCCAATAAAGAGAACAGCACACACATTTACGTTCTTCCTTCTTTTAACTTTGATGATACCCTGTAAATACTGCATAGCCAAAACTTAAAACTGTGTATTCACATCTTGCTATATGTCGCTTTCTCTCAATTTCACATTGCCAGTGAATCATGATGACTGAACTAAGCTGTGATTAACACCAGGTTTTAGCACCACGAGCGTGTGAACTTCTAGTGTTAAATAAACACACGCTCTCATCTCTTCATCTGTCCGCACTAACATTTGCATCTTTAGACTATCCCCAATTGAGTTATGGAGATTTGTAAGAATTAGGCAAATCAGTGTATAATTCATTCAGAACCCAACATTTCTATGAAAAGTATGACGTCAATCCGGATCTGTAAATGAGCTACTAAGTACCAAGTGACATTAGTCTGTATGTGTGATGAAGGGCAGTGGGAAATCTGATCACTTAGCATGAGGCACACTCCATTGTGTTTACATGCTGAAGACAGCAGGAGAAAGCACGATTAATCCCATATTATTCAGAGACCTGAATGCGAGCCACTCAGGTCTTGCATGTGAGCTCACAAGTGAGTGAGGCGAAAGATGTATATACCTTGGTCCCAAATATTATTTAGATAAATAAATTATTTATTTAGACACTTAAGCTACACTTAAAAGTGTATAGATGATATAGAATTTTAATTATATATTTTTTTGTAGTATTATTGTTGTTGTTATATTTTCTTATATTTTTCTTATTTTTTTATATTCTGCATATACACATCTCCAAAATAGTATTTATTTAGACACTTAAGCTACACTTAGAATGTTTGTAAATGTCTTAGAGTGTATAAATGTCATATATTATTAATAATTTCTTCTTATTATTATTATTATTTTCTTATATTTTGTATATACTCTATTACAAAATAGTATTTAGACATTTATAAATGTATAAATATTGTTTAATTTTAATACTTTTATAGTAATTGATTGTTAAAAAAAAAAAAAAAAAAAAGTGAAGTTAGTTCTAAAAGTCTAGCATTATTTGTTTGCAGATGCCAATTGGTTTGATATTTTGCATCTATTGCAATGCCATTCAGGCATTTTTAAGGGTCGTAAAGTGTCCTGCACATTTTTGGACCACTATAGTATACATGTGTGTCTGCCTCGTTTCTGCTTCATTGTCTCTCAGTCACCTTCCCTGTTTCTTGTTTAGCTCTTTTTTGCTGAGGCCAGGGAAGTTCCACATATTGCTTCGCTGATCAGCACACAGTGTCAGTACCGACTGTCCTCCAAGCCCTGTGGGCTTCACTGCAATCACATGTGTGTGTGGGAATTCAAAAGTGGCTCATCAGGGCTCTGGCAGGCCTTTTCCTTACCCAATGTCCCTGGAGCAACTCCAGAATGCAGGCCAGTTGAGTGTGGGATGAGATATGCTAGACCCGAGATGTCTAATAATACCCATATCAATGTTCCATAACAGCACATGGTAAATATTTGGAGAAAAAGGTAGGGGAGGGACACCTTTGGTATTCTTGCCATTGGTCAAGTCGGGTGAAGAGGTTAAACAGATAAGGAAGGTTTAGGCCTAAGTGTGGCATCGTGGGGCCAGAGTTCAGAGAGGATTCATTGAGCACAGATGCACAAATGAGATGTTGACAGACCTCAAGCTATACATCACCACCAAATACTTTTGAATGTATTCCTCATATTTCATTTAGCAGATTATAATTGCAAATAATACAATAGAATGCACTATGTAGCACATGGGATTATTTAATGCACAACATACATAAGCTCTGTTTTTACTGTCAACATCTAAAATGAAAATTTTTATCAGTGTATAAGTGTATATTTTAGTCAGACTGATGAAAACAGAAAATAATACATTACATCAGGGGTCTTTTTCAGGGCAAGGACCCCTTAGGTGATAGAAACATGGAGCAGGGACCCCCAATACAATAGCTATTAAGCATATAACCTTCGATATTAATAGAAACTAACCATATGATTAAGAAGTTATATTAAGTAGATCAGAAGAACTATGCACATTATTGTTGTTCTAGATGCATCACTGTCTGTAATATTACTTTTCATTGTTAAAACTGACATTTATGCATCAAAATCAAAATGTTACGATAAAAATCACAATTCATTTATTGTTTGCAGTTGTTGTAAATTATTTTAATGAATTTGCAGAGTCATTCATTTTAATTTTACTAATCAATGGACAATTGGATTGGACAATTAACTATTTAACTTGAATTACAAGTTTATTAAAAATTCACATTTAAATTGTACAGTCAATGGACAAATACACATTTACTTGAACTTTAGCTTTAGATTTCAAACTTCACATTTTATTTTTAGATGGACAGTTAAGAATCAAATTATTGAGTCACTAAAATTGAGGCAGATGTAATATAGGCCTAAGCAACGGCTCTGCTCCACCATAACAAGAACAGCAATGTACATTGAGACATTTAAGATTATTTACAAGTCATTGCTTTTACAAATAATTGGAATGGAATTGTAAAAATATATTAATAGGCTATGAATATTTTTTTAGTAATCTATTAGTCTGCATTTACATTGTGCACATCTATTTTGACATGCCATAATTTTGTCCCATGCTTGTATCACTGTCGATTGCAGTTTTGGGAGTGAATCACGCATTTATATGTAGATGTAATTTCCAAAATTTTGCAGCGTGTAACTGGCCGTCGGTCCTCTTGCATGAAAAACAATACTTTTATTCTGTGGTTTAGCTATAGCCTCCATAGACTGATAGTCTCGTAAGCGCGAAAGACCACTCACTTTACAATCACTAAAAAGCTGTCACTCATTTAAGTTTGTGATCTCACAACGTTCCATTAAAATCAATAAAGTTATCTACACTGCACAATGAATCGTTTACTTACGTCATGTAGTTGTGAGAGAGGATTAGCGAGAGAGCAGGCAGCACTTCGAACAAAAACTCAGGCGTTTGGAGCAGTGATTGATTCTAACTTAAAGCTGTAGTCCGTAACTTTTTTTGGTTAAAAATGATCCGAAATCAATATTTAAGCAAGTACATAACCAGCCAGTGTTCAAAACTATCACCTTACTTTAGCCCGATTCACAACGGTTAGCTTATAATAATGTTTTCTAATTTGAGTGGTACAGGGAGGTTTTTGGGGGAAATTCGAGCATGGCACTGCATCATTACGTCACTTCTGTAAACATAAAGAAGTTGTCCCGGCTAGTGGGCTATCGCATGTGAGGATCCTGCAGGTGGCGGATCGTTAGCCTTCTCTCACAGCAGTTAGAATTTATCATTAACATTTATCATTTTGATGGCGGATTGTAATCCAGAAAGGATTATGTGTTTATGAAACACATGTGACTGAAATTAAATTATTCCAGTTTTAAATGTGCTTCTGATTACAGATAGCCTGGGATTACACAAGATTTGTATTTTAAAGAGAACCAGTTCAAAGGAAGAATAATTTGCCTTTTGGGTTAAAAGAATTTCTTAATATGAAATTCGAATGGTATGACAATTGGATTACTGTGCAGAAATTGAAATCTACAGGCTAATACACACTACATACACATAGTCACGCAATGCTGATGTTGTTAACATTAACAATTTGAGAACAAAGTATAACAATAATAATAATTTGCACGGTTTGATGTGATATGAGCTAATTGATCGTTAGATTTAATCACCATTGGTAGCGCGATTTATTGTAATGCTTCTTATCCTCAGTTGGTCAGAACAAACGTGGCAGACTTGTTACTTACTTGTTCTGATGACAATATCTGGTGAAAATGCTCATTTGGGTCATATATTCCAAGACGTAGGCGAGAATCTGTGATTCCTAAGTACAGTATCCACACCGGTGTGGTGACTGGCAGCCACACATTCACCTCAAAACATTAGATTCATCCGCGCTGGAGCTGGTGTTGGAGCACAACCACGTAATGAAAATAATTCCGCAAGTTACTGCAATTGCAGGTTTCAAATAGAGATGGCGACAAAGAGGCAAAACTTACGGACTGCAGCTTTAAACACCTCTGATTGGTCATTGCGTTCTAGAGATCAACAAACATGCGTGTGATTAGCTACATTTCTCACTTCTGCAAGAACACGCTGTAAAAAGGAACATTTCACGTTCTCCGGAGCAGAGTCTCAAAAAACATGGAGCGTTTGCTAAATCTGTTTCACGAATAATATTATATTACATTATCATCTGAGGGTGCTCTTGCTTTCGTTTCAGAGTGCTTATATTTATATTTGACGTTATGATGTTTTTTACCCATGTTTTGACTTTTTTAACAAAAAATAATTTGTGATCAAACAGTGTAATTTTGTTTACTTGTGCAAATCTAGTACCTTGGAATGTTGCATCAAAAGCAGTACAGACATTTTTCGAGGCATGAATAGTCACAGTATGGTGCAGTTTGAAATTTGGCACATTGATATGCGACTTGGAAAAACATTAGAACTAATATGCAGATTTCCCTGTGTGATCATCTTTTTGGCTTTCACTAGTTTATGGAAAGTACAATTTTTTTCCACATAGTTCCTAGCATTACCTAAGAATTAGAATTACCAGAATTGGAATTATCGGGAACCATCTTAAGTACCAGCTGGGGAACATGGCTGGGAATAACTGACCTGGGCAATATTAAAAATAAATAAATAAATAAATATGAAGAGTGGTGATAAAAAGTTAAATGGCCAGGTAGGTACATTTATCTCAACAATGGCATAATTTATTAATAATAATCATCATCATAATCAGCTAAAATCTGTTAGTCTTGATTACTGTATTCTTAGCTCCCCCATTCTTCTGCAGGCTCTTCGTGTTTATTGAAAAATACTTTGTGGATCTGTTATGGATATCACACTGACAAAGCGAGGGCCCAGCTAGTGTACTGACAGATATGTGCATGTCCTCAGAGGACCTTGAGATAACACTTGCTTTAAATGCAGAGGTGTGATTGTTTTTGTGTGTTTGTTCTCCCTGGACACTAACTGCTGTTATCATAACTGGTATATAATTGTTTGCCACACATTCACAAATTAGAGGTGAAAAGTGAGGCCACAGACCATTGGACAGTGTATAAACATTTTCGTGCATTACAATTTTATTATTATTATTTTAGGTTTACAACTTTGACATCCCTGCCAACCTAAAGAGACACAGAATGGAATAAGTTTAGTTTGGATGGAAACAAAATTCCTAACAATACCTTTTTAAAAGAACAAAGATTATAAAACCTGGCACTCACAGAAAACATTCATTTCTAAAGCCCAGCAGTTCAATTATGTTGTAGACCTCACATTGAGAGAAATCTTTATGTCTGTTTGTCTATTCATGTCACTTTTGTTTCCAGAATCTGTAGTGCACTGGCATTCAGTTTCAAGAACAACATGCACATCAGGGGTAGAAAAGAAAAAAACAGAAAGTCTACAGTTACTCTCCTTTTTTTCAGCATTCTTCTGCGTGTTGAGGGTAAAGTTCCTGTGGATTTATACATTATTTGTACTCAAATGACCCTCATAAAGATCAGATGTTAAATTTCCTTATTAATGTGCCGTTCCCTGCCACCACTTCTGTAAATGTGTGTGTGAGTGTCAGATATCAAAATCATGTGCATGCATTTGTAACCATGGCTGCATTTGTTTCTAACACACTGAGTCCTAAATTGCATTTTTATCATTTTAGTAATAAAGCTCCCAAACCACAAAGTCCTCAAATCGAAGTTCACTAACACCAATATCTCTTTCAGGTGTGTAATCTAGTAAAGAGATAAGAGAGTCGTGTTTCAGAGATTGATGCGTCATACTATCATGCTACTTGATGTGGGGTGAAGACTTTATATAATTGTATTTTTGTTTCCTGTTGTACTGTTCTGATTTTGCTGAGGTCATAGTATTGAGATTACAATACATTTTACCAATGTTGACGATGCATCCTCATCAAGTTTTCACTCTTGTTCCATACAAGAAAGTTTCCTAAAACTGGCTTAAGTGTTCAAAAAGGAATCCAAAACAGCTATTAGGGTGATGATAATATTGATGTGGTCTTGCGTAAGATGCCATTTAAGTGAAATTACTGGGAAATTTTGCCAAAATGTGAGTATTTAGACTAGAGTATTTGGATTGTAATATATTGGCATACCATTCTCATGTTTCTTTCCCCTGTCTCTGTAGGTTGTGATTCAGGGTTTGGTAATGCTACAGCAAAGCGGTTAGATGCCATGGGGTTTGAAGTGTTCGCAACTGTATTGAACCTGGATGGAGAGGGAGCCAAGCACTTGCGCAGAGTCTGTTCATCACGCCTTACCCTCCTGCAGGTAGACATCACCCAGCCTCAGCAGGTACAGCAAGCCCTGCTCGACACCAAGGCTAAACTTGGCATGAGAGGTGAGGATTTACTCTTGCACTATGCCAGAAATACACACACACAATAACACTCCAACATGTTTGAACACAATGAACATAAAATACCCCTGTATGAATGTTCGTATATCAGAAAACTGCCAGCAACTTTTGGTTGCCCTGAATAAACTTTAACCAGCTTGTGGTTTCCATTAACGTTTCTGTTGAACCAGCTTTGGAACCATGCTATCAACAAAGCACCTCATTGAATTACCTTTAAAGTAGGTCAAATAAATCAATTCATTTGTGCTCCATGGGCACATTTTTTGTCAGTGCTGTTTACTTTACAAGAGATTCAGCGTAGTCAGGTATGTGTATGTAGTGTGCGAGCATTTTTTGTTTGTTTGTTTGTACGTGACCAACGTGGATGTTTAATCTCAGAGAAAGTGTTGGGAAGAGGAGGGGATGGGGTGGAAGGGTGGTGTATAATTTGGCAGTTCATCAAGGGGCTGTTTTATTTTCAAACATACACACCACAGCGCCAGGTGGCTTATGACTTTTTTTTTTTTCAGAAAAAAAAAAAACGGTATTTTTCCATGCTGCCTTTTTCAAAACTCAAAGTCACTAGTTCAGTATTTTATTCCTTATTCTCCTCAATTTAGATGCTAAGCTAAGGGAAAAGTGAGGACATATTTGAATGCTCATACAGTATATCTTAATATCTGATATAGTTTTGCAAATTTAGTTTTTTTCCCCTTATACACTCACAAAAATAAAGTTTCCATAAGAAGGGTTTCACAGTCATGCCATAGAATAACCATTTTGGGTTCCCGAAAGGACCTTGAACAATTCTTTAAAGACAGTAAAAAAAAATATTGTGTGAATAACTTTTTCATCTACAAAGAACCTTTTGTGCCATGGAAAGTTTCCATGGATGTTAAAGGTTCTTCATGGAACCATAAATCCCAATAAAGAACCTTTATTTTTAAGATTTCTTAACTAACTCAATCTCTATGTATAATAATGTTAATATAAATCACATGCTGTCATCACAAACAATTCTATGCAATATCAGCAGATAAAACCCAGATCACTCAATCCCTCTGTACTAAGCCACTCTGTATCTCTGTGATTCTCCAGATGTTCTTGAACAATCCATTAGACAGGGTTGAAAATGTGCTGTATTCTGAACCATGTGTTCTGATGGTGCTAAAGACAATAAACACATCCAGCACATTTGTACACTTAGGTGTCACAAGTTCAGACCAATGCAGATATTTTTTAAAAATGTGATGACCAACACAATGAATGACAATTTTGCAGTTTTGCTTCAGCAACTGTCACTTAAGAGCGGAGGTTCTCAACCAGCAAACATCCAAGTGGTCTGTACCTGTTACCTTGAATGTATTCCAACTTCTAAAATGACCAAATGAATTGTGGTTAATTCATAAAAAATGTCAGTGCTCCCAGTTTGTTAAAATTCATAATTACAGCATAAAACAGAAAGTAATCTACAGTATATTATACCTATGCATGTTTTCTTTTCTCTAGGTTTGTGGGGGCTTGTTAATAATGCTGGATTGTGTGTGAATGTTGGGGATGCTGAGCTCTCCCTGATGTCCAACTACAGAGGATGCATGGAGGTCAACTTCTTTGGAACACTCACTGTCACCAGAACCTTCCTGCCACTTCTCAGACAGGCTAAAGGCAGGATTGTGACAATCTCCAGCCCTTCGGGTACTGTACACGTACACGTACACGTAAACATACACGTGAGCTCTAACCATTCAGCTAGATCTTTTATACAGATATTATATATCCAAGCCACTCTACTCAGACTTCATCACTAATAAAAGAAACAGAAAAGAACGAGTAAATTAAATTGTACGCATGATGACACTTTTATGAGTATTTGCAGGTTCTTGTTTCAGTGCTAAATCTAATTAGAAGTCTCTCTGCCATCCACATAAAGCTGCCAGCGCTTATAAATGAATCTCTGTCACTCAGATGTTTATTTTACGCCTTCCATCTGGCTTTATCACACCTAACCAAACACTAATCGGAGCCCAAACTGTAATCCACCTGTTTTCCTTCCTTCTCAAGTGTCCACTAACAATTTCAACCGAGAGCAGCTCTCTGCTCAAGCTCATGCTGGAATTCACAGTTGGGAAAATCAGTGTGCTTTTAGCTTTGCCTGACTCCCCTGATTTTATCTCCATTTGTTTACTGCCATTGTGCCAAAACAGTGTGTTACTATGAGTAACAGCCTGGAGCAGGACGCTGTTGAGTTCTCTGTAAACTCTGGCGCACAGCCCTTTTAAATAAAGATGTCTCCATCATTGCAGTCTCACTGTAGAGGAAAACAAAATGTTTTAGCTGTCATGAGCAGCAGATGCTACTGTCACAATACAGATGAACAGTCGTTCTCTCAGAGGGCTTACAGGAGGCCTGTTGTCTTAAAACATCCCGTACATCCTCCCAGTGATTTGAACATAAGCCCTTTTCTTCTGCAAAGTCTTGAGGCAAAATTACACGTTTTATAAACAGTCACAATCTGCAATTAACCTCCACAGAGCTGCTTGGTTTCCACCGTTAAACTGATGATTGTCCTGGCTACAATCCAGCTTTTTTTTTTTTCTTACATCTTTATTACCCCTACAATGAATAACACTCCCTCAGCCAAAAAACACCACAATTTCTGGACTTTTGGAATGCGTCCCATAACGGTCTTCATTGTGGCTTTACCAGTTCTCAGGCAACGTGACAGTAATGTGGTAAAAAAAAACAGTAATGTGGTAGCTCTTCTTACGTAGTTTTTACAGCCTTTATCGTATCAGCCTGCTCGTTAAAATGTTCAAGGATATGCAGTGCTGTAAATTGTGATTGAGATATGTTTGTTTCTGCAGGTGAGCATCCCTTCCCTTGTTTGGCATCGTACGGGGCTTCAAAAGCTGCTCTGAATCTTTTTATCAGCACACTTCGTCATGAGCTGGAGCCATGGGGTGTCAAAGTCTCCACCATCTTACCCTCTGCCTTTAAGACAGGTGATTAACATTTTTACAATGACCAAGTTACATATACCAAAATATTGTATACTTCCAGTTTGATGATTCACCTATCTGTATACTGCCGATCTCTAGTCATGTCACAGTGGTTGTAATTTGATGAAATTTAGACTTTCTGCTATCATAAAACACACAGTGTTCAGGCAAATTGCCTGACAAGGTCTAAGGACACTTATATGGACGATTTGGTGTATAAACTGCAGATGACCTTTTTAACATCTAGTTCAATGAACTGGTTTATAGATTTTGGTTTATAACATATTGCAAGTTAAACTACAGGCAAGAAGTGAGCCATTTAATTCCTCCCCTTCTAAACACACTGCATTATTAAAAATACATTATTTTATTATTGTTCTTTAAATATACAAATATTTATACTTTTTTATTTATTCTTTGTTTTTATAGTTATGTATTTATGATTATATCAAAAGAAGAAGAAAAAAGTGCAAATATACTTTAAGTTTTAATGTTGTTATCAGACGCTTAATAAAACATATAAAAGCAACTTAAAAACACCACTGCTGTGTCCTGGTAAATGGGCCCATCAGATATTCTTAGACAAATGGGTTACATCTTGAGAGAAAACTGCCACGTCGGTTAAGTTCTCATTTGAGTTGTTTATTTACATCTGAGCCTCAGGGATCCATTAGGTTTGAGTCCTTCTCTTCACACGCCGACTGAACAGATAGTCCGGCCAAATGCAGGTCTGAAATTACAATATATATAACTGAATAAAGTGTCCCCAGACCTGTTTATGTCTCCAATCTGTCCTGGACTGATTTCTCCCCTACATTCATGTTGCATCATGCTTTCTGCCATTTCCTTAACTTGCAGGGCAGAGCAGTAACACAGAGTACTGGGAAAAACAGTACAAGAACCTGATCCAGAACCTGCCCCCAAGCCTTCTAGAAGAATATGGGGATGAATACCTGCTGGAGACCAAGGAACTCTTCCAGAGTTACGCAAAAACAGCCAATGAGGATCTGAGCCCTGTCATCAACACCATTGTGGACGCACTCCTCTCTCCTCGACCCCAGGTGCGATACTACGCCGGGCCGGGTTTAATGCTCTTGTACTTCATCTGCAGCTACTTCCCTTTTAGCATCAGTGACAGGTTCCTCCAGAAACTCTTTGTACAGAAGAAAGTGATGCCTCGTGCCCTTAGGAAACAACAAGGCCTGAGCCTCAACGTCAATAACAACAGCATAAAGGAGAACATGAACAACAACAACAACAACAACAGCCTCACAAAGATTAACGATTAGTTATGGTAAAGAGTGTAAGAACATCCTTTAGCACAACTAATGTGATCTACTTCTAGAGATTTGTTTCCATTGTGTATACTTTACTTTTCTCGTCTTCATTTTGTTGTACATATTGTGAAATATTTTGAGGGGATCACTGAATTGCACCAAATCATCTGTGGTAAACCCAGTTCTTAAAAGGCAGTTGACACTCTTGAACATCATGAAGATAATGATAAAAAAAGAGGTCATGCCCACAGGCCATATTTATAGTGAATACAAGTTCTCAGGTGAGGCAAAATCCAAACAGATAACATACGGTTTATGTATTCTGCAGAAGGCATCAATTCTAGGCGTTCACCATGGAGACACCTCAATTGAGTTTGATGTGAAATTTGAAATTGATCATTAACAGCCAAACATCTGAGACTCTCTTTTCATACTGCACTGAGGTGCTGATGATAATGTTACTATGATCAAACCAGAGTCAAACTGGTCAGAGTGCAACTTCAAGTAAATTTTTATTTTTTTTTTAAGTGACCAATGGGCTGAAGTGGTTCCTAAAGTCAGAAGTCCTTTTTAAAATGTATTTTACTCCATAGTTTTGCATTTGTTATGTTTATTTTTTTCCATGTCACATTTTGTGGTGTATTTATGCCATTTTGTTCTAAAATAAATCACTTAAACTGTGAATTTTATACAAATATGGAAAAAAGAACAAAAAAAGTTTTAAATTGTTCACTTGATCATTCTTAGAGTATATTAAAGTTGATTTTTTAAATAATCGATCTGTGTGTTTTTGTATTTCCTGTCAGAGAACATGAACAATGGCTTCCTTTAGCTGGTCAAAGATCTTTGTCAATGCTAAATGACCTTCTCTAATCACTGTACTGAAACCCAGCCACCCACTACTGCTGTGTTAATTAGCAATTGTATGTAGCTATGCTAATTGCAAATTTCAGTTTGTGTTATGAAGCCAGAGTCTTACAAGCCAGATATAACAGAGCAAGAAAAATGTTGATCTTTCGTTGCGAACTTGCGATACAGTTTTTCTGTATAAAGTTTCCAAAATGCACATTTTAACTATTCAGCAAAGGTACATTAAATGTATCTATTCACGGAAGATTTTTATTTCTGTTATTTTGAACTTTGTATTCATCAAAGAATCTTGAAAAAAAAAATCATGGTTTCCACATATATTAAGCAGCACAATTGTTTTCAACATTGATAGTAATAAGAAATTTTTCTTGAGCACAAAATGAGCATATTAGAATGATTTCTGAAAGATCATGTGACACTGAAGATTGGAGTAATGACTGCTGAAAATTCAGCCATTTGGGGGGAAAGACACTGATGCAATGCTACATTTCTCCAAATCTGATGAAGAAACACACTCATCTACAGTTTGGATGGCCTGAGGGGGGGAGGATATTTTCAACAAATGTTCATTTTTGGGTGAACTATTCTTTTATTTTGTGGCTTTATGCTTGAGATTTAGCAGCTTAATGAGACTGTAAATGTGAAACTGCTCTATTTTTAGGAATGAGAAGTGTCATGAGCACTACACCACTGATTTCATCCATAAGCTGTACTCTGCTGAGGGGAGAGGTGTCTTCCTGGGACACCTGCAGCAGGTACAGACTCATGCTTTATCACTGAAATAATCGTTTCAACAATGACTCTGATCCAAAGCTAGGGGTAATATTCAATTTATGATTTGTTTCAATATATTTAATTTCTTGCAACTAAACCACTATTCATAAAGTATTCAAAAACTTTAGTGCATCAATATACTTAGGACCATGTGATATTTCAGTTTTTGTTTTTTAATAAATCTGCAAAAATGTCAACAATTCTGTGTTTTTCTGTCAATATGGGGTGCTGTGTGTACATTAATGAGGAAAAAAAATTAACTTAAATGATTTTAGCAAATGGCTGCAATATAACAAAGAGTGAAAAATTTAAGGGGGTCTGAATACTTTCCGTACCCACTGTATTGCAAGTTAAACTACAGGCAAGAAGTGAGCCATTTAATTCCTCCCCTTCTAAACACACTGCATTATTAAAAATACATTATTTTATTATTGTTCTTTAAATATACAAATATTTATACTTTTTTATTTATTCTTTGTTTTTATAGTTATGTATTTATTATTATATAAGAAGAAGAAAAAAGTGCAAATATACTTTAAGTTTTAATGTTGTTATCAGACGCTTAATAAAACATATAAAAGCAACTTAAAAACACCACTGCTGTGTCCTGGTAAATGGGCCCATCAGATATTCTTAGACAAATGGGTTACATCTTGAGAGAAAACTGCCACGTCGGTTAAGTTCTCATTTGAGTTGTTTATTTACATCTGAGCCTCAGGGATCCATTAGGTTTGAGTCCTTCTCTTCACACGCCGACTGAACAGATAGTCCGGCCAAATGCAGGTCTGAAATTACAATATATATAACTGAATAAAGTGTCCCCAGACCTGTTTATGTCTCCAATCTGTCCTGGACTGATTTCTCCCCTACATTCATGTTGCATCATGCTTTCTGCCATTTCCTTAACTTGCAGGGCAGAGCAGTAACACAGAGTACTGGGAAAAACAGTACAAGAACCTGATCCAGAACCTGCCCCCAAGCCTTCTAGAAGAATATGGGGATGAATACCTGCTGGAGACCAAGGAACTCTTCCAGAGTTACGCAAAAACAGCCAATGAGGATCTGAGCCCTGTCATCAACACCATTGTGGACGCACTCCTCTCTCCTCGACCCCAGGTGCGATACTACGCCGGGCCGGGTTTAATGCTCTTGTACTTCATCTGCAGCTACTTCCCTTTTAGCATCAGTGACAGGTTCCTCCAGAAACTCTTTGTACAGAAGAAAGTGATGCCTCGTGCCCTTAGGAAACAACAAGGCCTGAGCCTCAACGTCAATAACAACAGCATAAAGGAGAACATGAACAACAACAACAACAACAACAGCCTCACAAAGATTAACGATTAGTTATGGTAAAGAGTGTAAGAACATCCTTTAGCACAACTAATGTGATCTACTTCTAGAGATTTGTTTCCATTGTGTATACTTTACTTTTCTCGTCTTCATTTTGTTGTACATATTGTGAAATATTTTGAGGGGATCACTGAATTGCACCAAATCATCTGTGGTAAACCCAGTTCTTAAAAGGCAGTTGACACTCTTGAACATCATGAAGATAATGATAAAAAAGAGGTCATGCCCACAGGCCATATTTATAGTGAATACAAGTTCTCAGGTGAGGCAAAATCCAAACAGATAACATACGGTTTATGTATTCTGCAGAAGGCATCAATTCTAGGCGTTCACCATGGAGACACCTCAATTGAGTTTGATGTGAAATTTGAAATTGATCATTAACAGCCAAACATCTGAGACTCTCTTTTCATACTGCACTGAGGTGCTGATGATAATGTTACTATGATCAAACCAGAGTCAAACTGGTCAGAGTGCAACTTCAAGTAAATTTTTATTTTTTTTTTAAGTGACCAATGGGCTGAAGTGGTTCCTAAAGACAGAAGTTATGTTTTAAATGTATTATACTCCATCCTTTAGCATTTGTTATATTTGTTTATTTTTTCCATGTCACATTTTTGTTGGCATATTTATGCCATTTTGTTCTTAAATAAATCACTTGAACTGTGAATTTTATACAAATATGGAAAAAAAGAACAGAAAAAAATGTAAATTGTTCACTTGATCATTCTTAGAGTATATTAAAGTTGATTTTTTAAATAATCGATCTGTGTGTTTTTGTATTTCCTGTCAGAGAACATGAACAATGGCTTCCTTTAGCTGGTCAAAGATCTTTGTCAATGCTAAATGACCTTCTCTAATCACTGTACTGAAACCCAGCCACCCACTACTGCTGTGTTAATTAGCAATTGTATGTAGCTATGCTAATTGCAAATTTCAGTTTGTGTTATGAAGCCAGAGTCTTACAAGCCAGATATAACAGAGCAAGAAAAATTTTGATCTTTCGTTGCGAACTTGCGATACAGTTTTTCTGTATAAAGTTTCCAAAATGCACATTTTAACTATTCAGCAAAGGTACATTAAATGTATCTATTCACGGAAGATTTTTATTTCTGTTATTTTGAACTTTGTTCAAGAATGTTTGTTTCGAAAAAAAAAATCATGGTTTCTTGATCTTTCGTTGCGAACTTGCGATACAGTTTTTCTGTATAAAGTTTCCAAAATGCACATTTTAACTATTCAGCAAAGGTACATTAAATGTATCTATTCACGGAAGATTTTTATTTCTGTTATTTTGAACTTTGTATTCATCAAAGAATCTTGAAAAAAAAAATCATGGTTTCCACATATATTAAGCAGCACAATTGTTTTCAACATTGATAGTAATAAGAAATTTTTCTTGAGCACAAAATGAGCATATTAGAATGATTTCTGAAAGATCATGTGACACTGAAGATTGGAGAAATGACTGCTGAAAATTCAGCCATTTGGGGGGAATGTGCCCTTACATGGGCTACCATTGTCCTGAAACTAATTTCCCAAAAACAGGGTTCAAATGTTCAAAACAGTTAAGAAACATGCAACATTTAAGTAACATGCATAAGGCCTGTTACTGGGATAGCAATAAACCATAAAGAGGAGGGAAGGGTGGAAATGGGATGAGCGCCACTGTAACGTATGCTGCTACGTACATAATGATGATAAAGATGCGTTTGTAGTCTGCTTGTATGTGTTTCAGATTCCATTGGTCCACCAGCTTGTCATTCTTTGTCCCGGAGGATGAAGCCCTGGTTCATGCAATCCAATCATTTTATGCCACCCGGTTTAAAAATCCGAAACTGTCCCGCACACCCCAGCTTATTGCTCAATTTGCTTTTGCTTGTTTTTGCTGTTATACGCTTGTACGCTCCCTGTTGTATTGTTCTGTTTACTGTCAGAGATTTTCTTGTATACTGTGTGTTGAATACTTTTTAAAACACCCTTTGATAATACAGTGTACAGTTACGTTTACTGTTCTGTTTTCACCAGTCCTCACATTGTGTGTAAGGTTGGGAAGGCCTGAGCAGGTAAGTATGTCGTGCGATTGTACATCATGTAGGACCATTTATTTGTATTAGACACACTAGGGTAGGAGAGAGTGCCAGCCCCTGTACGTTTTGTTTATTCATTTAGCTAGAGTAGTTTAGTTAGGCTGTTGTAACATTGAAGATCTTTGTCTTTCTACATTTTTATTTTGGTAGTTAGCTAAAATTATAAAACTAGCTAGCTGTGTTTTGTTTTATTTATTTTATCTGGCACCCTCACATGCTCCTCCTTCCCACCTTTTTGTTTTGTCATTGTTATGTTGTTCCCCGTTCTTTTGTAAATACTGTAAATATTATCTCTCCACCTTTCAGTGAGCACTGCACAACTTAGAACAATAAATAGTTTGAGTGGAGTTTGCTTCTCTTTTATTTGCCTGTCAACGTTCTTGTATATGTGCACACACACACACACACACACACACACACACTTTACCAAATGTAATTTTCCCATTTACCCCTAGCCCAACTGATTCCTAAAAACTTAAGGAATGAAACATTTATGGGGGCTCGTCCGGGATCTAAACAATTAGATTTTTCCCAGATGTTAATTTTGTGTGTGTGAGTATATCTTTATGTTGGTTTGCGCTGTAATAGAGAGGAAACGCTTGTGTAGAGTACTATCGGATATAGTGAAAGTGGCATGAGTGAAACCCAACTTTATTGATAACCCAACTTTAGATAAATTTGACAGGTGTAGGAAGGATGATTTATTGAACATCGCTGACTATTACGGGATCTATGTGGTGAGGCAATTATTAAAGAAAACAATAAAAGTGTTATTTTTCGAAAACTGGTTGAATCAAATGTGCTTGTGATGACAGTGAGGCCGCCCAGGCGGCTGATAATACGCGTCCAAGTAGCCCGGTTACGTCGGAGAAGGCGCTGAGCGATGGCCGCCGAGGTGGAGGTAAAGTCCGATGCCAAGATTTAAATCTATATTTATTCACACCGGCTCTTGAAAACCTCTATGCCAACACACTTGCCCGAAAAAGTGCGGGGACGAATTTATGATATTAAAAGTGGGGGGGGGACACGTCCCCCGCGTAATCTACGTCCCTGGTCTAACTGACCATGTTATGAATCACAGTCTCTACTTGAGAGAGTCTGGACACTGAACTGAGGATTCAGCCGAATGTGAGCAGATCTACAATGGCTTCAGTCTCAATCTTTGAGACTTTGACACATTTCAAAACAATAAATTTCAAAGTTTTTTAACCAGAGCACAAAATGCTCAGTTCCTGGTAAAAGTTATACCAAGAACTAAGCCTGCTCAAATTTCATGGAATCGGGACATTCAGAGGGCAGGGGAACTGACTCAAAATACCCACAGTTGAGAAGCTTAGCCTTTGGAGCAAGGTCAGAATCCTGGGAGATTAATTGGTAATCATGTTTATCTCATTAACTGCATTTATTGTTTTTGGAAAGAGCAGTGTGGCCTTTCTTTGATAGCTGAAACATAATAAGGGATAAATGGGACACATTGTCACACACCACATCACATTGGGTCCTGTGATTAACAAAGCAGCACTTGGTTCATAATTGATGAGAACTTTGTACCTTAACAATGCAAATGGTCCCTGCAAGTAAACACTAAATATGAGTGTCACTTGTGTAATAAACAGAGAAAAGTACGCTCAGCCTCGCTCCCAGCTGCAGCAATTTGTGTGATTATCAGAAAATCATTAATCATTCCAAAAAAAAATAAATAAATAAAATGTACAAACGTTTCTGCTATTCATTGTGTCTTTTTTTTCAGAGCAAACTTTCATCATCGACTTTTTCTTTCCCAACCATCGACTGTCCAACCAAGCTGTCATGTGCAATTTTACCAGACCGTTATGTAAAACTAAAGGCTGTTAGGGACAATGTGTCCAGCACCAACTTCCTGTTTCAAAAGGCAATACATCAACACAAGAAAAACTGAACACTGGGGGTGTTGTTTAGGACACAAAACTCAAAAAGGGAACATCTCTGTTAAAGGGGAATCACACAGATTAGTTTTTTTTCACAAAGTAGGAAATTATTTACTGTGATGATGTAAAATTTTACTATGATGTAAAAAATTTAAAAAAAACATTTCTAACGAAATCAGAAAGAAAAATCCTGAAATGTTAATGTCAACTGTTAATGACATTTTCTTTTATCAATTATGAAGCACTACAAGACAAAACCATCTGTAGTGACTGTACGTTCTGACACGTTGAGATGTGGTGCTCATGTAGGCAATACAAGTTCAAGTCTGCATCAACTATCCCATCATTTACTGCTCTCCATACTGCCACCATTAGTTAACATAGCAAAAAGGCCTAAATTAAACAAGATACTGGACCCAGTTGCCCTAGAGTTGAGAAATTTGACACAGAAGAAAGAAAAGCGAAGAACATTCTGAGAAAGAGTTAAGATTAATAATGCTAGTGGTGTCCTGAGGCAAGAGTTCAGTCAAATCTGAAAAGGAAAATTACTCAAAAAAGGGAAAAGAAACTCACAAATGTTTCACACACAAGTCAACTCTTGGGTGGTGGTCAGGTTTTTAGGACACAGGGCAGGAGATTGTGCCACTCAAAAAGGGAACAATAACACACCACTAACATAAATAAACCCTGTAGGTCCATCCAGAGTTACCTCACAGCTGCTCTCATTCACCATACAAGGACTATCCGCAGGATTTTCCATTGCAACACTTTACGTTGATAACAGTGCTTGTATGCAGAACTGATATTATGATTAACCTTAAAAAAGGTGAGTGACTGGGCTGCTTGCAACAAATTTCAGTCTGCTTAAAAGCTTAGCATTAAAAACCTTTGCAGGTGTGCCACAGGTTTTAAGGCCATGGTGCACATTTGCCAAATCCCCTCAGGAGCGAGGAGTGCTGTACACTGTCTCAGCGCTGCAGATGTTAAAATCCAGCACAGGACGCTTGCCAACATCAACACATTAAGTTCCTAACACTAAGCATACTTGGAGTGATGGAAAATGGTAACGTTTGTGCTGGCCAGACTCACTAGGCTAAAGAACTAGATCCAAAACCATAACAGACTTCAAGGAACAGCGACATATGTCTGTTTCTAAGAATCTCCTCTCAGCTGTTTGTTTTCTGTCACTTTAATCATAGGAAGATGAAGCATGAGAAAGAAGACCAGAAAAAAAAAACTTTTTTTTTCAAATTGACAGAAAATAGGACAATATTGACTGAGTAGTAACATTTGAGAGGTAATAGCAATTTGAATTAGAATTTAATTTTAATTTTAATTATATTAATTAATTTTGCATTATCTGCATCCCTTTTAATTTATTAATTTATTATTTTATTTATTTAATATTATTATTAATTGACGTTTAAAAAAGATTATTTTAATTAACTATTTGGAATTGGGTGTCATTATAAGAGTTTGATATGAATATTTGAATGTCTGTGCATTTTTCTCTTTTTATGCATTTTTTTATTTCTTTTCGCTATTTTTCATAAGTTAAAGTGTTTTTGTATGTAATTGTTATTGTTCTAATTATTATTATTATTATTATTATTTTATGTGTTGGTGGTGGGTATTATCACAAAAGGAAAGGAAAAAAGGGGAAAAAAGTGAACGGAAGAGAAAGTAGAAGGAAAAATTAGGAATAACTATTGGTAAAAAAAATGTCTCTAAGGGAAATTTTCATTTGCATAATTGTATTAAATCTGTTTGAATTGAAAGACATAATAAAGTATAAAAAATGCATTATCATTTTATTGTTGTAATTTTTATTATTTATTTTTTTGTAATGTGTGAATCAAAAGTGATATTAACAAAATGATTTTAACTATGTATTCAAAAATATACTTATATAATTAATTCAATGCAAAATTTTCTCTAAAACTCAAATGAGTTTTAAGTTAAGCAGCAAACATTTTCTAAAAAATATTAAAAATAAGTGTAAAAACAACCTGAAATATTCATGCCCAAAATGCAGAGTTTCCTTCCTCAAGAATGAGGC